AGCTACTAGCGTTAGATGATACTTTAATAGTTTTAGTGCGTCCTGAAAATTAATTAGAATTTAAAAACCTAGCTAACACGTGTAAATGTCGAGGCCACGATAATTTTCCAGTTATAAAGCGATCAGTGTTGTTTAATACGGGGGCGTAAAGTCCGCTCGCTATTGTCTGTAAATGCGTTTACACGCGCACTATCATCTTTTATTGATTTTCACAGTTCAAGTGATATTGATCTTTACTCAATTCGTTTTATGATTCTTGCACGCAGCAATTAACATTATAATTAATATTAACATTAATTCCGATCGATATCTTTATGATATCTTTAATTCTTTCTCTCTAATATTTGAGAAATTATTTTTCATTTATACAAATTGACAACTCGACTGTTTCATTCAAAGGAACAAAAGAAGCAAATATAAAAATTGATAAATCAGTATACGTATAAATATAATTATGAATTTGAAATTCATATGAAACTCGCGAATGCGATAATATTGGCTAATGTTGATAGCTCGTAACTCAAAAAATATTGTAACTTCGACAATTTTACAACAGAATTTTCTAAATTTAATTGATCTCCAGTTTATTTCAACATTGTACAGTAATTGTGGTAACACTCTAGATATGCACTCTAGATACGCCAGTTTAATCTCTTTTAAATGGGTTTCAACAAGATTCTTATCGCAATAGCCTTGACACTTTTCTTTTGTTAGACGCAGCTTTCATAGTCGTGAGTTTAAAACTGCTAAATATTGCCACGTTACGCTTGCTTTTACATCATCAAGTCTTCTCTCACTCAAGCACCGAGCTTAATTTTAATTACAAGCTTAAACTAGAAAATGAAAAATTATCAAAGCGAGTTACACATCTTGAACACCCACACATATCATACTTGTAAATTCAATTTGCACATAGTAATCTAATAGGGAGATAGAGTTGAAGATTGAAGAGAGAATATTTTCATGTCTCATGTCAAAACTGACTGGGTTTCAACAAGATTCTTATCGCAATAGCCTTGACACTTTTCTTTTGTTAGACGCAGCTTTCATAGTTGTGACTTTAAGACTGCTAAATATTATGTTGCCGCGTTACGCTTGCTTTTACATCCAGTCTTCTCTTACTCAAGCACACGCAAAAAGTGACTTACAATTAGCATTACCAGCTAAATATCAGTAGCTAGTTCGAACTTCGCTGTCATTGCTAAAGGTTAGCTATTAAAGATAAAATATATTTTTTATGAGATACAATTTTATTAGCTAAAATAAAAAGCGTATACTTTAACAAGAATAGTTAAGAAAATGGCACATGGAAAGAATGATTTTGCTGAATATTAATAGAATTAGTTAAACGTCATTTGATTCTAGCAGCAAATTTTGTTTGCACCTAAATTTTAACAACTAATAAATTTAGCTTTGACAGTTATTACATTAGCCTGATATTAGCTGTCCCTATTTTAAAGACACACATCAGCTGTCACGATTATATTTTAGCTGCATTGGCTAAACGTTTCTCTGTGTGCATCGAGCTTAATTTTAATTACAAGTTTAAACTAGAATGAAAAATCATCAAAGGGAGTTACATCTTGAACACATACACACACACATACACATCATAAATTCGATTTAAACATAGTAATCTAATAGGGAGATGGAGTTGAAGATTGCAGAGGGGATATTTTCATGTCTCATGTCAAAACTGACGGAAAATACATGTCTTGGGGAGACGTAGTGGAGAGCAAGATGTTGTGTACGTTAGGGAAATAAACTCGAGTCGTATCTCACTCTCATCGCGCGCCCTTTCGTATTTCCGCGATTCGCGACGAAGCGCGCGCACTTTATATATCGCCCTCGGTATATGTATAAGCATACGTATTACTCTGTCCGCTACGTGATCCATCACGCTCGGGGTAATTGTGGCAAATCATGAGATTTAATTCCCCCGGCGTGATTTAATCGATCCGCGCCGTCACCGCGAAGTGCGGGGATCTGTTAAAATACCGCGCGAGCGCGCGCCAGGCTCTCCCTTGGCAGATCATGCACACGGATGTTGCAGTGTGCAGTGTGCTGTACGCGTGCTCCGTTATACTTCGCGCGTCCTGGCGATTAGCGATTAGTTTTTATTTGCGGCGGGAGAATAGCGGATATGAAAACGAGATCCGGATTTGCGAGGCGCGAGATCGTCGCCCTCGTGGCGCGCACGTGCGTCTCGTTTTCGGCTCCGAGTTCACCCAGCGCGAACGTCAGACCCTCCCTCCCCCCCGGCCTTTTCCGCAATTTACTCCCTCGTTCGCAACGTGCATTAACGGCCGTTGCCATTTTTCGTCTGCAGCCTATCCGCTGGAGCTTATCCGGTGTCTCCCGCAAGAAAAACTTTCCGTCATTAATAACAGCCTTTTTTTCCCCTGTGTCTCGAATTCTTGTTTTATTCCACTTGAATTCTTGCTGATATACGTAATATGATTAATTACCTTAAGATAATTATCTTATTAATTATACATATATTAAAATTTAACGAGTCTTGTTCCTTTAAAAAAATATATATATCTGTACCTGCTCGATCTAGTCTCTCGCACGAGCGCGATCGAGCGTAGTACGCGTTGAATGCTCTGCGTGCACATCCTGCGTGCGTGCGTGCGTTCGACGGAGGAGCAGACGAAACGCAAAAGAAGCTGCAGTCCGGAGCCATGCGTCCGGTTGTTGATCCGCCTGGTTTGCAGACTACAGCGATGCGTGTGTCGAGCAAACGCGTTCTCGCGGTGTATGCCGATGAATGTTCTTATACCGATGCAATCGCACGGTCGACACATTGGCGTAATGTACGGTGGATTGTTATAAGATATCATTTCCGCGTTATGGTTCGCGAAATGTTCTGAGAATCGTGCAAACGTTTTACGGCGAAATAAAGGCAGATCCGATGTTCCATTCGCGAGAAATCGACTCTAATAATTGATCAATATTTTTATCTCGATAAAAAATAATCCGTCATTTAATGTAATATTGTTCAAAAAAATTTTTTTTAATGAAAAACTCTTGCATGTGTTTACATTAAATAATCGCAAGGATACGCTGTTTCTCGTTGAGAAAATATTGTATGCTTATTTAAATCGCTATGCGTCACGCACCGCTGACGCACGGACGGAGGACACGCGCTCCTCTCCACTCTTTGACTCTTCTTCTATTTCTTCTTCATCTCCGCCCTTCAGCGAGAACATCTCTCAGTATCGTCCCAAGCGTTCATCGCGAGGGAACTCGCGAATTTTCAACGGCGCGTTCGCCGACGTGTAACGGGTAACGCGAGGTGCGTCCGATTGAACAAAGAGTTTCCGAAAATTTCGGCTAATAGAAAATAAACCGAACGAAAGCTGCAACATCGCGAAAGTAAAAATCAGCAGCAACAGGACAGTAATGCGCTACCGCAAAGACACTACCATCTTTTATTAAAAAAATGAAGTAGTGAATAATATTTTTTTTTTTACTTCGACCTAATTAAATTTCTATGAAAAAAATTGATAATTGAGGTGAATAATAATTATTTCTTATCGCGGAACATAACGGAATATTAAAGTTATCTTAAAATTAGTAATTTTTAATAAGTATATAGAAGCTATCTTCGAGTCATGCGAGTCCTCGTTTGGGGTTTCTCCTTTCGTAGGACCGCGATGAATTTTAACTACCTACTGGAAGATATTGTCATTCTCGGTACGATCTCGGGAACCTCCATTGCGAGTAGGACACGCGCGATCAAACATCGTCACGTAGCGGCGAACCGTCAGCTGTAACACACCCGGGGCGAGCTGAATATTAAGAATTGCTGAACAATTATTAAGAAGCGCGGCGCGGGGGGGGAGGTGGGGAGAGGATCGGGCAAAATTACAGCGTTTGTAGCTGAAAAGACATTCCCGGCGTATGTACGTGCCCGCAATTCCGGACGGATACGCAACCGGTTCAATTTCGACATTGTTTCGGGCGCGTACGGTGCACACATTCCTGTCGGTCCTTTCGCTGTGTCTCTCTCTCTCTTTCTCTCTCGGTTTTGTCTCTCGTGGTTACTCGATTACGATCGAGGTATGCGAATCCAAGCGTGCCTAAATCGCGACTTTGAAATACGTGAGGTTGACTTTGAAATCCGTTACTTCACTATACTTATATATGTCGCGCCTTTGTTTCATCGTTATCGCTCCATCGCGTGGCACCTCTGAAGATCTTTTAACAGTTGAAATTGATGTCGGGAGGATCGAGGAGAAACTATATACATGCACGTGGAGGGAAAATAACTTCCATTATAGTTATTCATGGCCAACGAAAAACGCGAGAGAGTCGGCATCATGGGGCCGGCATCGCCCCAACTCTTTCCACGTCATACAACTTTCAAAATTGAATTCGCTCTCTCATATCCGCTTTAAATAAAATGTTCCCGGCGCGCGGATTACGAGGAGGCACGGGGGACGGGGGAGGCCCGCCTAAAAATCATTCCAACTTTTCATCTCAAGTGGCTTCCTTCCACACGATACCTACATGCGTATATATACGAGCGCCGCCGAGTGTTTCGTGACTTCACCGCGGCTCGCTATCGGGAGTTCGTTCACGTAAAGAACACGCGCGCGATAGATCACGGGCTTTTCCGATTCGTATATGGTTCCTATACAAGTACATATATCTACTCCACACACTGGGCCGTGCGGGACCGCCGGCGGCGGCGTGCCTGTTCTAAACCATCGAATGTATTTCATTCGGACCTTCTATATCGGCGGACGTGCTTTCTTGCCAAAGAGCAGCGCAAAAGCTGCACGCCAGGCGTGTATTTCCTTTTGCGAGCGATACGACGTGCGGACGATGTCGATACCAGAATCGCCGATCCGCTTCGGAAAGTAAAGCGGTTCGAAGAGGATTCGTGGTGGTGCGCGAAGCGGGGTAGAAAACGCGACTACGACGGGGCGAAAAAGGAAACGGACGTTGCGGATTCTTGATCGTTGCCGCACGTCGAAAGAGCCTGGAGCGCGATGTCCAAGTGCTGCGGCTGCATCGGCGTCTGCGCGACCACCGAAGCGTATCAACCGCTAAAGACTCACACCTACGCGCGCGGCGATATCGGCCAGGAGCCGTTCAGGAACGGCAGGGAGGTCTTGAGAAGCCCGAGAGATCGCCGCAGGAAGTCTAGCGTTCGCTACGACGTCGTGAGGACTCCCGGAAGTGGCAGGTGAGAGACCCTCGAAAGCACAACTCGGGATTCTCCGAGTCGCTTGAAAACTTTTTATAAAACTCCTTCACAAATCCACAATCCGGAAAGGAAGGATTATTATCGCCGAAATTAAAACTTAAACCGTAATTTCTGATAACGCCATGTATAAGTGGCGGGAAGTGTAATTTCATATCCACTGAGCGAATTAAAGCGTGCTAATTATACAAAGTATCTGCTAAATGGGGGATATTCGGTCCGCTGAGAAATCACGTGGTACATGCTTGAACGGCAAACGGGCGGGGTCAAAATTTGACGTAACGCGCTCTTCTCGCGCGCTCCCGAGAGCGCGGTCTCGAGAGCACACGCGCGCCGTAATTATCGCAGATACGCGAAGCCGAGAGCGGCGGAGATTTACCGCGCGACGTTATTTACCCGGGGCCGTCTGCGTTTATTCGGTAAACAGCCGCTTCCGTATAATAAGCGAATGATTTACGGCCGTTCTTATGTTTAATGGCATTTCGGGATGTGTCTCGCCCGCCTCGTCACCGCCGAAATATATGGCGTAATCTTGTTTGCGCGGAAAAGTGGGTTTTTTTATGCGCACGTCCTAAGGAGCATGATAAGACGAGACGTATTATAAGTCATTGTCGTAGGAACGAACCCGTCTTAAAGTTCTCCAAGGGACAATCGAAATCGCGCGAGACACTTCTTGACGCTACGTGAACTATATATTGATAGCGTGAACTATATATTGATATGTGAGGTTAGCACCGCAACATTAAAATTCCATAATTCTGATTGGAGTTCCCGCTTCATTTTGAAAAGACGAAGAGTTCTCTACACGGAAAGAACGATTTTTTGCTGGAAGATACAAAAAATCTGAAAATAATTTTTATTAGAGCACCATCAAAATAATTTCGTTCGAAAGTCAAACTGATTGCTAGAATATCAAAACTTTTTACATATGATGCTTATTATTTTTGAGGTTCCGACAAAATATTTTGATGGTGCTCCAATAAAAATTATTTTCAGATTTTCTTTTTGATCTTCCAGCAAAATCGTTCTTTCCGTGTTAAATATAACAAAAGTTCTTAATTTTGATAAGAAGTTAGCACTCTATTTTTTTTATTTAAATTAAAAATTGTTATTAAGCAGAACTCTTGTAGACTATATAGGGAACTCTTCGTCTCTTCAAAATGAAGCGGAAGCTCTAATCAAAACTGAAAGGATTTTTTTTATTTTTAGAAGTGCTAACTTTACACACGCCCATTGGTATCATGTGTTCGCATTCGCTCTCTCAAGATATTATACTTAATGTTATAATATCTTTACACGTTACAAATTATATCATATCTTTCTACGCGATATCATATCTACTTGACAAAAACTCTCCTTGAAAAGAAGATATGCGAGAGATAAGAACTTAACTCGAAACTGTTGTTCGAACCACCGTGGTCATTTTACATCTTATTTTCGTGTAGCATCTTTCATTTCGCAACTTTTTACATTTACACTTACACCGTTGTCTGCTTCCGCTATCCTAGGCAATTCTCGATTTCAACCGAAAACCGGGGAACGCCCACGCGCTATCGGTTCGAGGTACAATCTCGCCCTTGGTCGTCGTTTTGCTTAAACCAATCGCGGGGGAACACGAACGGAATGTCGGACCGCCAAATGACACCGGCGAGGATTTTGCGAGTGTTTTCGGGGACGAGCACGAAAGGGGCGTCGTGGACCTGCAGGGGGGTTGCTCGGGTGGCGCGGCGCGGCGCGGCGCGGCTGGCGGAGGGCGAGAGTGCATCCTCTCTCGGCGACGACGGGCGGCGGGAGGGCCGGGAGGCGAAAGGTCACGTGACCGGCGCGGCAACCGGGAGCGGAGGGGATACGGGGGGAGGGAGGGGTGGCAAGAGGTGGAAGTCTCGTGATTTTTACGCTGTACGTACGGAAGTGCTGTCAGTTCCGCAGGAACTCTCGCGCGATACGGACGTCCGCGATACGGCTGTCTTCCCTGCCGCGTGTGACCGACTGTATATATATATAGTCGCGCGTTTAATGCCTCTTCTTCTGTAAACCGCTCCTTTTGTGCTTTTCTTCGGCTCCGCGGTCTCGAAGCGAGACGTCTTTCCTCCCTTTCTCCTCGCTGTGCCTGTCCCTCGCGGCTGCTTTTCTGGCCAAAGTTGTCCAAGTACCGAAGTGACATTCTTAGACTGTAACAGTCCGAAAGTGGAGATGGGGCTATCTCATGCATAAAATATCCAGGATGATCCCGATTCTCGTTTCACTTACGTTTTGTATAAATGTTTTTATGTTAGATAATAATAATTAAAAATTAAAATAATTATTTTAACGACGATGAAACAACGTTCTTCGGTGTTGCGTAAAAATTGTTCATTCAACACAGTTGTCTACGATGCCACTTCGGTACCGGAAGGTTAAGCTTTAGGAGCAGCTCCACGCACACATGCTACGTACACATCGTAACGAAGAAAAAAAAAATCTACAGAGTTCATTTATTTCAAAATATATTCGTATTGCTTTAAAATAAATCTCGTCTCTTTAATAATTCGTTTTTCTACTGTGTTCAATCTGTCATTTTATCAAAAAGTTTCTCATAAAAGATCATCCGCAAGCTCAGAAATCCGACGGTGTGGTCGTCTAAGTCGGTGATGTGGTGTCGTTCGCGTCACGTCCCTTACGCATCAAGATAAAAGTTTTCGAAAATTCAGAGAAATAAAATTATTTGCTGCAAAGCGTGCGCCCGCGAGCGCGAATCTCCGAGGCTGGTGAACGGGCTTGTGGAAATGGAAACTCTCTTCCCCAGTCGTCGAAAGGAATATTTAACTGGGGAAAGAGCTTTGTTCGAGCTTCAACTTGTCCTGTTCAGAGCCCATTACTCCCACACGTGGCAGTGCGACATAATCTCCGTGCCCCTCTTTTATCGCCATTAGTCCCGTTCCACGGGGCGCAAATAATGCATCATTTCGTGCAAAATTGCCGCGTCTCACGACTACAACTGTATATATAAAAACTCCGATGAGTCTCGTTGTATTGTGCGCGATCAACTCGCTGCCGATGATCAAAGCAGTTTCAACTACGAGTATAAGCTTCAAATTAACGGAGTTACTTAATAAGTGCGTTACATCGTCATCGCAAACGACGTGGGTGCCGTGCTTAAACTATAGCGAACTTATATACGTGTACGTGGAATATTTAATCCGTGCATCTCGAGTGTCTATACGAAAAGTTCACCGGCGGTACATAACGTTCCGATGAAAGATTCCATCGGGAAACTAAATATAATTGAGCTTTATCAGCTTTAATTCGATATGACCGTTGCCTCGATCCCCGTTAAATATTCAATCATTATCCATTGCTCGCGAGATAGAATTGCCAGTTGTAATTTCTGTAATAATTATATGATATCTCTGGTAAAATTATTGACAGTTTTTGAAATAACAATCCAGCTACGGGATGTGAACGTGGCTGGCAAAGTTCGTTACAATTCGCTGAAAAACGTAGCCCGGCCGCCCGCTCTATTTGGCTTTCGCAATTTATTTATTTTAATTAGAGAACGGCATTTTTGTTCGCTATCATACAAATATACCGTTTTAATGACATCTAACGGCCATTCTCTTCTCTTTTATTTGCAATTTCTCGTTATACGTTCGTTAGACACTTCCCCCCTTTCTCTCTTCTCTCTCTCTCTCTCTCTCTCTTTCCTCCTCCTCCTCCTCCTTCTGTACATACGCTAACGAACGACGTTATTTCACATCACAGGCTGCGAACTGTGCGTATACGTGCCGCGGTGTCGTGGGGTGAAAGTGAATACAGTCGTGTATGACGTGCACGCGGCGTGTCTCGTGTGCACGCGCGTGCAATACGCGCCTACTCGCGTGTGCTCGCCGCGGGTGCCGACCGCGGGCGGTCGATCGATCGCCGTAAATTCCTTCAGTTCGCGTCGCGCTGGAACATCGATCGTACACGATCGATCCGCTCCTACTTTGTACGCTGGATACCAAATCGAGGTGAGGAATTGTCGGAATATCGACGGGGGTTGCGATGGGGTTGCCGATACTGGCCGTGCATTTCCAAGATGAGCTCTCCTCCGGGTAGTGGTTGGCTCAACCCAACAGACTAATCGTCAACAGACTAACATCGTCAGCAGGCGATTATCAGTATCCGCGATGTTGTAGCATTACGATTTGTAATATAATAATAGAGAGCTCAAAATATACAGTCGAACCTCAATAACTCGAAAACCACTCGAAATTTTTCCTTTAAAAGCCATTACAATCGGAAAATTATAAATTCTCGTACAAAGCTTCTGTAAGACGAATTTTCATGTCATTTCTCTTTTACTCGAACTTTCATAAGTCGAAACTTCTATAACGCGAAGATTTTTATAGCTCCTCTCTTGAGACTCGAGTTATCGAGGTTCGTCTGTATATAAAATACAGCTAATATACATATACGTAATCCTATTTAATATATAAAACTTTTCTAGAGTGGTTCACTTATAATGGTTTACTAATTCCGCGCGACTTGTCGTCGCTCTAAATCCTGGTATTTAATTCCAGTCGTCTATCAGCCGCCTCGATTCGATATAACCGTCAATTAGTGCATATTTGATTGCGATCGGCGGTATGTTTATGATTCGCTGTAAGATTTAATAGCGCTCGCGCATATATCATTCAAACGGATGAATCATACATTACGTCATGTTACGAACTACCATATCCCGCTTTTGCGAGAGTATCTCCTACGAGATTGTTTCGCATTGATTGTACGCAAATGCGTGCATCGAATCTCTTTAATTGAACTACGAGAGAAGCGCGAGCGTTGCGCAACCGCGAATTCGGAATACGATACACGTTGTGCGAGGGGATGCTAAATATTTAGACTGGAGAGAGAGAGAGAGAGAGAGAGAGAGAGAGAGAGAGAGAGAGAGAGAGAGAGAGAGCCGGCAAATAAGAAGCAGTCGAAATATTGCCTACGAAGATCCGCGACCAAAATAAATC